GCTTCAGTGGACAATCCTAACACAAGCCCTACCATAAGCTTTCCTTTTCTATAACTTACCCTCTTCCAATTTACTCCCTATGCATCATCCACAGACATAATTCTTAAATTCTCTTCTTTTAAAACTTCCCAAAGATCTACATTTCTTATCATATCCTAGAAATGGCTGACAGTGGTTGTGGTGGATAATACTGAATGCTAAGTTCAAAGGATCTTGATTCACCTAAAATACAAATCTCGGGGCAATCTGGGGAGAAGTTTCCTGATTAGGTTAATTGAAGTGAAAAAATATATTTTTAAAATATAATAATGGGGGATGGGATGTGCACCTTGGTTTGGGCTGGGTTCTTGGGTCGAATAAAAATGAGAAAGTGAGCACGGCATGGTGGCGCATGCCTGTAGTCCCAGCAACTGGGAGGCAGAGGCAGGCAGATCTCTGTGATTTCAAGGCCAGCCTGGTCTACATAGAGAGTTCCAGGACAGCTGGGGCTACAGGGAGACCCTGCTTCAAAAAGACAAAAAAAGAGAGAGAGAGAGAGAAAGTGAGAGGCTGGAGAGAGGGCTTGAAGATTATGAGCAATTGCTGCTCTTTCAGACCTGGATTCAGTTTTCAGCTCCCACAGAGCAGCTCATAATCATCTATAACTCCCATTCCCAGGGGTTTGATGCCCTCTGCTACTCACTGATGACTGCATGTATATATGTATATACACATATATACATATTCCGGCACTCACTCATACATACAAAATAAGAAATAAGTCTTTAGAAGACTGAGAAAGCAAGCTGAGCACCAGAATTAATTACTTCTGCTTTCTGACTATGTGTGCAATGAGACCAGGTGCTTCCACACCCACCATCATGCTTTGCTGTAATGATGGATTGAACCCTCAAACTTTTTTTAAAAATATTTTATTATTTTTATGTTATGTGTATGAGTGTATTGCCTACATGTGAGTAAGTATACCTGTATCATGCAATGCCCATGGAATCAGAAGAGGGCTTTGGATTCCCCCTAGAACTGGAGTTATGCAAAGTTGTTAGATGCCATGTGGGTGCTGGGAATTGAACCCAGGTCCTCTGCAAGAGCAGTCAGTGCTCTTAACTACTGAGCAATCTCTCTAGCCCCTATACCTTCAAGCTTTTATCCTAAATAAATATTTCCATTCTTAAGTTTCTTTGGTCAAGTACGTTGTCACAAAAAACAGAAAAATAATGAATATAGCCATTTCCTTTCAATCTCCCATAGTTTTACTTCTTGACTTCAGAGCACATAAAGCCTAGGAATTTATCTTTGGGTCAGTTCTACTTCAAATACTCAAGTTTGCCCACATTCTTTGCTACCTCAAGACTCTCTTACAAATGGTATAACTACCTGCCACGTTTTCTTCATATGGACAACATCCTCCTTAAGCTATAGTTACCAACCTGCACATTGTCTGACCACTTGGAGAAGCCTTCTTTGAGCTCCAGTTAAAAGTAAGGATACCATTACCCTCTCGTGAAGCCATTCTGAATACTTGGTGTACTCATTATCTCATATTCATTGACAAGTCTCTTGTAGATAGCAAAAATAACGCCCTCTTCCCCCAGACTCAAATTTTCACATTCTTCTTGGACTTCAGTAAGCTTTGGTAAAAGCAAGCTCAGAGAACTGGAAAAAGTAGTATATTAGTGAATAGGTAGTAGAAACTCTTTTGTTTTATTTTTCTTTATTTTTGAGAATTTAAAACATGAACACCATGCAATATGATCATATATATATATAAAATCACCCATTTCCTATACCACCCCAACAGGCCCCTCCCAACTTCATGTCTTTTTTACTATATATTCCACTATCTGTGAATATATTACAGAGAATGTAAGGAAACTGAAGTTTTAAAAGGTCAAGGTTACAGATGTCCTATAAGGACATCTTTTCCATCCTATAAAGCATGCACTCTGAGGAAGCTTAGAAGGCAAGCTTTTTGAGAATTTCCCACTACTAGGGGGCTTTGTTTCTGACGATTTCAGTAAACTCATCTGTTCCCATTCATTGGAAAAGTGATGAGCCAGTCTGGGTGGAGCAGTGACCCCTTACACAAGAAAAAATCCAGGCTGCACAAAAATTAGTTGAGGAACAGCTTGCTCTTGGTCATCTAGAGCCATCAAATAGTCCTTGGAATACTCCCATTTTGTTATGCAAAAGAAATCAGGAAAATGGAGACTATTACAAGGCCTCCGTAAGGTTAATGCTACTATGGAATTTATGGGCCCTTTACAACCGGGTCTTCCTTCCCCAACAGCAATTACAAAAGGATACAATATGGTTGTTATTGATTTTCAGGATTGTTTCTTCTCAATCCCTTTAGATCCTCAGGATTGTAAGAGGTTTGCTTTTAGTCTTCCTTCAATAAATTTTCAGAGACCCAATCAAAGATATCAATGGAGTGTATTGCCACAGGGAATGAAAAATTTGGCCCTACTCTGTGCCAAAAATTTGTTGATCAGGCTTTAGTTACAGTAAGATCACAGTTTCCAAATGCATATATTTTACATTATATGGATGACATTCTCATAGCCCATCAAGACAGAGCTATTTTACAAGAGGTTTTGCAATCTACTGTACAAAATCTATTAAAATATGGCCTTAAGGTAGCCCCAGAAAAGATTCAAATAGATCCTCCTATATCTGATTTAGGGAGAATTATTTGATCTGATGTTATTACCCCCCAAAATCTAACCCTAAAAACCCCATCTTAAAACTCTAAATGATTTTCAAAAGCTCTTAGAAGATATAAATTGGATTAGACCCTTTTTGAAGAAAACTACTCATGAATTAAAGCCATTATTTGATGTTTTACGTGGTGACCCTGACCCCAGATCACCTAGAAGTCTAACTCCTGATGCACAGTCAGCCTTGAAAATAGTTGAGAAAAAAATTAAGGATCAAAATCTCCATCGTATCAACTTACAGTTACCATGGCAGTACATTGTTCTGCCTACCTTAGGTTTTCCAACAGGAGTCATCTGGCAAAAGGGACCTCTTGAATGGATTCATTCACCGCTATCTTTCCCAAAAAATGTTGTGCCTTATACTGATTTAGTAGCCCACTCTATTTCTAGAGGGTGTAAAAGAGCTAGAGAATTGAGAGGGATTGATTTTCAGTATATTATAATCCCTTATACAGCCCAACAATTAACTTATTTACAAGGAATCTCTGAAGAATGGCAAATAGCCCTCTCAGGGTACACTGGAGAAATTTTGTTTCATTTGCCAAAATATCCTCTTTTACAATTTCTAAAAAATCAAAAGTTTACTTTTCCTTTAAAATACTCTCTAGAGCCTTTGGATAAGGCAGCTCTAGTGTTCACAGACCGTTCCTCCAGTGGCAGTGCTGTCATGGTAACTGACACTATAGTCACTAAATATCAAACAAAAGAAACTTCAGCTCAGCGTGCTGAGCTCATACCTGTAATTATGACTTTTAAAAAACTGTTAACTACTCCTTTTAAACCTTTATGCTGAATATATATATATACTGTTCCCAGCCATAGAGAGTGCTGTTATCAATGTATTTAAATAACAGGTTGGACAAATGTTTCTTCAACTCCAACAATTAATACAACAAAGATCATTCCCCTATTTGAGAGCCCTTACAGGCCTATCTGGGCCGTTAAGTAAAGGAAATCATTTGGTTGATGTAAATACTAGGCCACAGATATTGACAATAATAGAAAAAGCTCAACAAAGTCATAACCTACATCATCAAAATTCTAGAGCCCTTAGATACCAATTTGGGTTAACAAAGGAAACTGCCTGACAAATTGTCAAACAATGCTCATCCTGTCCAAAATACTTTCCTTCCCTTCAGATGGGTGTAAACTCTCAGGGATTAAAACCTAACAGTCTCTGGCAAATGGATGTTACTCATTTTCTCTCATTTGGAAAATTGTTCTATATTCATGTGTGTGTTGATACATTTGCTCATCTTATTATTGCTACTGCTCAAACTTGGAGAAGCAGTCAAAGATGTTGTACAGCATCTTATTTTCTGTTTGCCTATACAGGAAAACCACTACATATTAAAACTGATAATGCCCCTGCATATACTAGTAAAAGTTTTGGTGAATTTTGTAACCAATTCTCAATTAAACATACCACAGGAATCCCTTGTAACCCTCAAGGGCAAGCTATAGTGGAAAGATGTCATCAACAACTTAAAACACATTTACAAAATCTACAATCAGGAGATTTTAAGTACTTCTCCCCACATCATCTTTTAAATCATACTCTCTTTGTCCTTAATCATCTAAATAGAGATTCACAAGCCTTATCAGCTATGGATCGTCATTGGCACTCATCCCCTGATAATCTTCCCAAACCCTTGGTTTTATGGAAAGATTTTTTAATTGGAAAGTGGAAGGGTCCAGATATCTTATTAACATCAGGAAGAGGATATGCTTGTATTTTTCCACAGGACATTGAATCACCTATTTGGATTCCTGATTGCCTCATTCGACATTATGACGGGACTCCCCGGATGCCATCCCGGGTTCCTCCACCCTCAGATGGAAAGTCCCAATGAAAAGACACCTTCGCCACTGGAGCAAAACCCACCAGACGAGTCTAACCCGGTCTCTCGCTTCCTTCCTGTCTTCCGCAATCTCGCTATCTCAAGATGACAGCGCTCACGCAGCAATCGCAGCTCCCATTCCACTAGACAGAGGCACGTTCCTACCTGGGGTCAACTTAAAGGATTTTGTGAACTCGCCGAAATTTTAATTAACGAGTGCCATCTTCCGGTTACACCTGAAAATTTGCTACTTGCTATGATTTCCTTGATCACCATCGAGGTATTTCTTATTTCATGTCCTGTAGCTACTGCTAATGATGCTTATTGGGCTTTTTTACCTGAACCTCCTATGTTTCACATTGCTACTTGGGAGCGTGCTTCTGTTAAGGTTACTACTAATGATACTCTTCTCATGGGAGGTGAAAGTAATGCCTATTTAACCATCAAAGAAAGGGTAAATGTCACTTTTGAAGGCCACACTGATGGCTCTCCCATGTGTTTTTATACTGATTCTTCTTCTCCCTTGACAGGTTGTTTCCTGCTCTCCTTAAGAACAGTAGTTGCTGATTCCCCATCTCCTGCAGGGAAATCTATAAGGTCTAATGTGCCTTTGGGCGCTTACCCAGAGAGGCCCCCTGCTGGGGACGGTAATAGAGATCTCTGGACATTAAAGTATACATATTTGGACATTCCTCAAAATAAATATAATGTCTCTCAAAATCCTTTACCTGCCTTGATTTCCCGCTGTGAACAAGCAAAACTTATGGATAGCTCTTGGGATCACATTAATGATCACCATGGATTTCCAAATTGGTTTCCCTGTGGATTTCCTTCGAAAACTGTTCATTTTTCTCCTTTCAATTACTCTTTATCACTGGCTGATTGGTCAGTAAGTCGTCCTGATTATAATTATAAAACCTATCTATCCTCCTATACAAATAAGTTTATCCATAACAGCCATTCTCTCCCTACTGAGCCACTAAGTGCTTGCTATTCTCCTGGATGGGTTATTCCTCAAGTTGTTCCTCTTTCAATCTCTGGTAGACAACACATTCAGAGGGACCTTTATAAACTTTTGGCTGCAATAGGTATGATCACTCTTCATCGCCCTCACGGCAATCCAAAGATTACTTCCAAACCTTTACAAGCTTGTGTAGGTGCTCCCTTTGCTATTTTACAGGAAGGTCCTCATGGTTTTATGTTTATCTCCCATAATTCTGATGGTTCTTTTTATGGATATTGTTCTTACTGTATTTTGTCAAATTGCTTAACTAGATCAAAAACTACAGAAGCTTTTATTATATTACGCCACCCTTCCTATGTGATGCTTCCTGTTACTCTCTCCGAACCATGGTATATAGATCCAAGTGTTCATCTTTTTCAGGATGCTACTACTGCCCTCCAATGATCAAAATGTTTTTTTGGCGGTTCTAATTCTTGGAATAATTGCTCTAATTGGTATATCACCTAGCTTTGCCTTGTCTACCACAGCCCTTGTACAAGAAATTCATATAGCACATCATGTTAATCAACTTTCTAAAAATGTTTCTGTA